CGCCGAAGGGAGGAGAACGATTCTTGGCTGTCAGCCCGGATTGAAGCCGCTTCGCTTCCCCTGGCCCCAGCCTCCCTGCACTCTTTTCGCTGTGTCTGACACAGGGCAAATCACCAACGACTCAAATGAGCAAATGATTCCAGAAAAAAGAATCTGAGATAAAGAATAACCAACTAGGAGTCTTCCCATTGTAGTCTCACTCTCGGAAAAAAAAAAAAAAAAAAAAAAAAACTGGGTAAGGAGCAAAAAAAGTGACAGAGGCCGGGCGCGGCGGCTGACGCCTGTAATCCCAGCACTTTGGGAGGTTGAGGTGGATCACCTGAGGTCAGGAGTTCAAGACCAGCCTGGCCAACATGGTGAAATTCCCACCTCTATTAGAAATACAAAAATTAGCCAGGCGTGGTGGCAGGTGCTTGTAATCCCAGCTACTTGGAAGGCTGAGGCAGGAGAATCGCTTGAACCTGGGAGGCGGAGGTTGCAGTGAGCCGAGATGAGGCCACTGCACTCTAGCCTGGGTGATAGAGCGAGACTCCATCACAAAAAAAAAAAAGGTGACAGAGTGACTTGGAGACCTCTTCAGTCACCTCTGGCAGCCTCTGGTTGACTGAAATCTGGAGGATGGAACCTAAGACGAAGCTGGGTCACTGGGGCCTGGAGCGGGGTGGGGGCTGGGGGTCCTCTGCAGCCAGTGTTCAGCTGCTTCACCAAAGCAAATAAATACGTTCACGGCTTTTCCCTGGTCCCCGTATTTCTCTTTTCAACGCATTTTCCCCATGGCGAGAATGACAGGGCAGGTGCAAAGAGTGACTAAGATTCTTCCGAGGGGTTTCTCCTTGGACAGAAAGAAAGATGCCTAAAAATAAACTGACTGCCCTCTTACTAATATTCTCTGATACTCTGAGCAGCCATAACCAGCCATTAGGATGAGTAAAAGAAACAAAAAAAAACCCCAAAGGCTCACTTTCAAAGGAGGAATGCTCACTTCAGCCCTGCACAAAAATACAAGGAAAATGCCAGTCTTGGCGACCCGCAGAGCTTCTGGGTCACACTCAGGCCTCCCGGGAATGGCTGGCCCCGAGGGAAGGCCTCAGCGCACTGACCCTCAGGGTTTCATTCTCCAAGGACTGGGCTGTTTCTCAGGGCAGGAGTCTGACCTGCAGCTGCTGGCACAGACTTGGATGGGACAGACAAGCACGGCGAGGTTCATCAGTCACAGATGAATCTTCCTCACCACTCTCCCTACTCCCCTTTCTCTCATGGCCTTCTGATTGTTTTGCCCAGACAGACTTCTCACCCACCTCCAGGAAAAGCCAGCCCAGCTTCACACCCCCAGGTAGCACCACTGGTCATGACGCATGGCAGGGCTGGCTCTGGGCCCTCCACCCTGTCTGCCTTCCAGGAGGGGGTTCTCGAATGCTCCATCCAGCAGCAGAGCTGAGGGCTGCAGCCTCTGCCTGAGAAGGAGGAGCTGGGATGGGGCTGAAAAAGCCCAGCAGAGACAGGGACAAGGCAACCCAAGAGTGAAACTATTTTCCTTAAAGAAGTCAGTGAAATGGGTCTATTTTTAAAATTTCAGTTCAGAGGGAAATGTGTGTGGTTGGATCCCCAAAATCCCATTTTTGCAAGCAGCTGTGACTTCGGGGTTTGGGAGACAGGGAGGACAGAGGAAAGGATGCAGCAGCTCCAACGGGACGATCCTTTCCACAGATTCAACTCTGACAGAATTCAAGCCGCGTGGCGTGGGAAAGGGCCCCCCTCTCGAGGCACGGACCCAGCTCCCCACCCTGCAAGGGGCTGCGGTACCCACCGAGATCCCCTGCAAAGCACAGATTCCAAACCCTCCCTCTGGTCACCAAATGTAGCAGCTTTTCATATTAAAAGACAATGTGAATTGCAAAGGGCTTGCATCAAACCCAGCAACAAAACAGTAAGTATGTGATGAAAACTGTGTCCTGAGCACTGAAAAACAGGCCTGGAGAAAGGAAAAGAAAATTGTAAGATGCAGGAAAACAATCTAAAAATAAGGGACAGAACCGGGCAAGAGACCATTTGTTATATTCTCAATTCTACCCTCACTTCCAAGAGCCAAAATACATTACCCGGGAACCTCCGGAGCTGAGTCCTGTCTAAAGATTAATCCTGTCTTCATAGCAGCACATGTGAGCAATGTAAAGTATCCTTATTAAGTAATATTGCTTCGAGGCAGCGGTAACGTCAAGGATGCTCGAGGCGAGGCTGTGGGTAAACACGTTTTCATCAGGAGTGTGACGCAGTCCCCGTGGTCGCCCCTTACAGCAGACCTACTGCAGTCAGGCCGCCCGCAGGGCCGAGGAGGTCTCCATCCAGCATTCTGGGGCTCTGCATTTGCAAACAGCCTTACAATCATGTTTTGTAACTTATTCCAGCGTGAGGAGCGTGCGATTCCGCCCTGAAACATGAGGCGGCACGCTGGTGATTCTAAAGCCTTTTTTAGGGGGCTTTCTCAGAGGGGTGAGGAGGAGCCCAGGATGGACTTGGGGCATCCGCTCTAGAGGGCTCTACAGTTCCTCATCCCGCATGAAGTCACTCAAAGGCAAAGCAGAATGTGAGGCTTCTGAAGCAAAACAGACCTGCACTCCCGCCGGCTCTGAAAGCGAAGGGGAAAATCCTTTCTTCTCCGACGCTTCCCCATGTTCAGTTATGTTTTCATTTTTCCACTGAGGTCTGTTCTTTGTCTCTAACACTGATTTCAAAGCCAAGGAAAAGCTGCCTCCTCCTCCTGAACTCGCTGATTCGCCCAAAGAAGGAATTTCTCTCGAGAGACAGAGGGAGCCCTTAGTGGGGGCTTTTTGGAGAGTCCCAGCTCCCTTGGAGTGTTCCAGGGAGGGCCCTCTTTATGTAGAGAACACAAGAGCATTCGCTGAATGATGCCTCTGATCTTAAACCAGTAAACGGACCCAGGAGCGGGTGGCGGGGCGGGTGGCGAGGCCCAGCTGGACTCAAAACTTCTTGGGGCTCCGGCAGTCTGGAGGGGGCAGGGTGAAGCCCCCGGCCTGGCCCAACTCCACCAAATCCATCCCCTCCCTGCTCGAGAAGCACAGAGCGCAGTACCTAGGATCAGGGAACCCTCAGCAACTCAGAAATTCATTCCCACCTTTTTCACTTGGCATGGTTCTTAAATCAAAGAAAAAGGAAATACAAATAAACAGCAAATCCCAAAGAGAACACACCAGACCTCGGGAAGGAAACTGAGGGGCGGCAGGTGTGAGACACACATGGCTCCACCTGCCTGGTCACGGTCCCCCCCGCCCCAGTGTCTTCCTAGGGCTGCCTTGAGGGTCTCTGCATGGGGACCTGACACCAGCGTCTCATTTCACCCAGAGCACGTGGCGCCCTCTAGCGTGAAGCCAGTGGGAGAAGGCTGGGGCGCTGCAGAGCTGTGAGGCCGTACTCGGCCCGATTGGTGAGGGATTAACGTTGAGGTTTTTAGGAATGTAAAGAAAGCAGAAGAGGGACAGTCTATCTGGGTCCCTCAAAGGCATGAGTGACAGATTCCACCCTCAACGGAGGGCAGGTGTCACCGGGAGAACTTCCACGTGGAAAGAAAGACACAAGTGGCTGAGGACGGGCACACACTGGGACACCGGGCACCATGCCCTTGACAGCCAGGTCTCCCTGACCTCCTCCAGCCCTGCAGCTCCGTGGACACTGGGCTGGTGGCAGAAGTTGGCACGGGAGAGGGTGCCCTGAGCCAGCTGCTGCTGTAGCAGCCGGGGGACGCTCAGGCCCTGCTTCCCCACTTCCCAAGGGCCACCAGATGGCCTCGGTGGATGCCTGTGCTCAACCACTTAAGATGTTGTTTTTGGGACTTACCTCCTAGCCAAAGTGGGTGTTTTCTTGTATTTGGTAAACCTGGCAATTATCCAGCAGGAAGCAGAAGACAGAAGCGGGTTACCGAGCCCAGGGGCTCTCAGGGAGCCCCTTTCCGAACAGGGCAAAGCAGGAGGGGCCCTTCCCAAAGCCACCACTGTGACCTGTTTTCACCCGCTGTGGACCGTGCCCCCAGCCCCTGGTGACCAGAGAGCAGGCCCTCAGCCTCTGCCTCTGCAGTGACCCCACAACGGGGCTGGAATCAAGCTACTTTTCTCCCCACATTTCTGCACGTTGCTAGGGTCAGCTCACCCTGAAGAACCCAGAGAAGGTTCTTGGGTCAACCAGACACGGCTCAGGGTCCCAGGCCGCCCAGGCTGGGGGCTGAGGCTCTCCGGGTCCTCCTGGCCTATGCTCTTGCTTCTGCAAAAGCGCCTGGCTGGGAGGCGCTCACTGGGCTGGCTCAGGGCACACCGGGAGGACTTTGTGGCCGGGATGTGCAGCCCTTTTGGGCCCTGTCCCTTCCTGGGCCTCTGGCTACTGGTTCCAAGACAAGCTCCAGCATGAGCCAGGCATGGTACCTGCTCAGATGAGCAAAAACTCTTTCAAAATCTCATGGTTATGAGCCCAGAGCAGTGGATCCAGGACCCAGGCCTCCTCTCCCTGCCCTGCTCTGAGTCTGAGCCGACCCCTAGGACCACGTCCCTTCATCCCTCTTTGCAGTCCCCGCAGAAGCCAGACAGTGAGGACTCCCAAGCGGCAGAACGCAGCCCAGGGATCCTGTGCTCGCCACCTTCCGGCTCCATCCACCACTCCCTTTCCACGCCCTTGGCACTGAAGCAGTAAAATCAGAGAACGCTACCGCTAACAGGAAGAATGTGCTCCATCTCAAAAACCAGGAAAGCAAGTGGGTCAGAGCCAGCCTGAGCGGACCAGGCCAAGAGGCGACCTCACTGTGTGACCAACACGTGGTGCAATCCCGGCACGCGGCGCTCCCTGCAGACATCAGCTTGCACGAGGAGGCCAACTGCAGTGGCCCAGAAGCAAACAGAGCTCCCCCATAAGGGTGGCCACGTGCAGCCCTGGGGGCACACAGTCACCATGGAGGAGAGAGTAGCAGCAGGTGGTCACAGAGGCCCTCTGTGACGGGCGCTCCCGGGAGGGTGCCAGCTCAGGCCACACAGGCACCGGTGTCAGGGAGCCATCTCCAACCACCACACCCCGTTCTCTCAGCCTTGCACGCACACACCAGGCACCACGGAAAGAAAAGGCCCACAGGCAACAGCAGGAGGCTTCAGTGTGGTACGGGGCGCAATCTCTCACCCTCCACGGATGGAATTGCACCCAGGATGGCCGGCTGTGTTCATCCCGCCCCCATTTCTCTGAAACCTCACCCAGGGCCACAGGTATGGACTTCCACAAAGAGCTTATTTCTCATGGAAAGGTTAGTGCCATAGAAACGACTCATTTTGGGGGGCTTAGAAAAACAACAGAATGGGAGAAGGAAACTGAACGGGGGTTTTCTCTATCTAGGTGGAAGGAGGGGGCCCACAAATGTCCTGCACTTGTCCTGGGGGACGGGGACTCTGATGGGGCCACGGGCGACCCCACTCCGCCGCACAGCACGCGTGTCCTCCCGCACTGCCTCGGAATCACTTTGAAAAGCATTCTCCCTTCTTCTCCAGGGAGACACCTGCCCAGCCACCTCCCTCAGACGCCTTCCAGGCGCCTGGGTCCCTCTGTGGCTCTCCCGCCAGGGCCCGGGCGGAGGCTGCTTTGCTGGTGAGACGCTGTGACACAGAGGATGGTCGAGTTCCAAGACCCACTACTCCTCAGGCTCTTCCGGAGCTCTGTGTCGAATCTGTTGCTGTTTCCCCAACAGGACAGCCAGCGCCGGAGCAGCCAGCAAAACTGACAGCTGACCTTTACAGGGATGTACTTCGCATCTCCAAGACACACGGAAGGAATCCTCTTTCCTCCTTGAGCTGGGCTCGGCATTACACAGCTCTGGCTCAATGCCGCTTGATGACAAAAGATCCAGGCGCCACTGGCCGTCTTAATAGAAGTGCAGGAGGGGCTTCCTCAGGGACCTCGGAGCCACCCAACTGCTGGAGCATCCCGTCCTCCGGTTCTCACCGTGTGGCAAACGAAAGCAGTCGCGCTGGCCGGGGCTGGGTGTGGAGGCACAGGCCTGCTCGCCGCTGCTGCTGGGGTGTGGTCTCCCTTCTGCTCACGGACGGACCTGAGCAGTGGCCCAGGAGCAAACAGGGCTCCCCCATGAGGGTGGCCACGTGCCACCTCCCTTCTGCTCATGGTGGGGTCTCCCTTCTGCTCACGGAGGGGCCCTGGAGTTTCAGGCAGGAGAAATGCTTCCAATTTAAAACAGCAGATCAATGTGGGAGTGGCACGGACGCTGTAACTGAGTGAAACAGCAGCTGGAGCAGATGGCATTTGGCACCGTTGGGTCCCGCTGTGGCCGTCAGCACTGGGACGTCGGAGCCACGGGAGAATCTGGGAAGGTCTGGCCTGCAGAGCAGTGGCCCCGACTGTCCCCGGCAGTGCGATGTCTGCGGCTGGCGGATCCAGGTCGATCTTGCATCCTAGGAAGCTTCCACCACGAACGCCAACCCAGGAAGCCGCTGCTCTTACTTGAAGTTATCAGAGCGGCAGGTTTACTCTTCCAGGGGACTAAACCCAGCGGGAACCCCAGACCTACAGCCAGTCATCAGACCGTCAACAGATGAAATCCTCAAAAATACATGATCCCTTTTGTGTTTGCCTCAGGTGTACAATGAAGTCTGAATTCCAAGTTTAAACAAAGAAAAACTTGGGGTCCGAAGTGAAACCGGACACCCCCCGAGTTAATGCCAACACTTTCTATGTCACGTTCCGGGCAGAGAGGCTGTTAGGCAGTCCATGGCTAGGCAGCTCCTGGCTTCCCCAACAGGCATCCGTCCGGTACCCAGGCCTCCCCGGCAGCCTCGGTGTGTGCCTTGCTGCGTTTCTGTCCCTCCTCCCGGGACAAAGGCAGTTGGCCGTGCAGCGTGGAGCAGAGGGGCTGTCTTGACACATTCCTCGAGATGCTGAGCTCCAACCTCCTCCCCACGCCCAACAGGGAGGCCTGGGGAGAGGAGGTGGTGCCAAGGGAGAAGGAAATGAAAGCAAAGAATTCCCAGAATCATACAATCAGTTGTCTGAACTTGTTTATGTGTTTTTGTTTTAAACCACGGGAGGGCAGGCGATAAAATGGAAAGGGCTGGGTGTGTCCAGGTGCTGCTGATGCCCGCGGGCCGCCATGGGCTGTTCTCCTCCGTCTGTGGGTGCGGCCGCCTGAGCTGCCGTGTCCAGCTTCGGGGTCGCCGCTGGGTAAGTCCCACTCCCCCACATTGCAGGGGACCTCACTCCCCGGTGCCTGGCCCCTGGGGGCCAGCGGCGGCGATCACTCCAGCCGGTGTGGTTGCAGCCCCACTGGGCTCCTCCACCCGGGACCTTTTGACCTCAGGCTCTCCAGTGGAAGAGGCAGAGGCAGAGGCGGTGGTGGCAGTGGCTGGGGTGGTGGTGGCCGTGGCCGCGACGGCTGCTGCTGGCTCCTTGGGCCCCACCTCGCACACCCGGGTGACCACCACTGGCGCGGACGAACTCGCTTGGGTCGCAAGGAGCTGCAGAGGGCTGGTGAGGGCTGGAGTGGAGGAAAAAGAGGGTTACTCTGGGATCTGGTTAGGACCCAGCTATTTTTTTCAAGTCACCTACACAGGCGCTAAGCCGCCGAGCAGGAACTGGAGCTCAGTGCACCCCTGCCAGGCAGGCCAGCTCCCCTTGCTCTGCTCCCTGCAGGCCCTGTGGGCCTTGCCATCCCCTCCCCACCTCATCTGCCCCATCTCTGCTGGCTCCAGCCTATCAGGTGGAGGCCCCTCTTGTTGCTGTCTGGATCCTGCTGGACATCGATGGCTCGCCCCACTCCTTTACACAGATGCACCGCCCTGAGCCACCCCACTGACACCCTGCCCGATGCCCTTGCACCCCAGCACCCCAACTCTCCTCCTTCCCTCGACCTCCTGCCTCACCCCATGGAGCGTGAGCTCCAGACACTGGGCAGGTCTGGGTTTTCCTTCCACCCTCTTTTCTTTCTCCCTTTTTTTTTAAGGGACAGGGTCTCGCTCAGTCACCCAGGCTGGCATGTAGCGGAGCAATCACAGCCGACTACAGCCTCACCCTCCCGAGCGGGGGCCACAAGTGCGCGACACCACACCTGGCTAAGTTTTTGAATCTTACGTAGAGATGGGGTCTTGCTATGTTGCCCGGGCTGGTCTCAAACTCCTGGGCTCAAGCGATCTGCCTGCCTTGGCCTCCCAAGGTGCTGGGATGATAGGTGTGAGCCACAGAGCCCAGCCCCTTCCACCCTCTTTTCTTAGCATTATCCCGGTGCCTGGAGTATAGCAGGTGTGCAATAAACTGAACTGAGTGGAGGATCGGGTGATACTGGGAGAACATTCTCGTGCTGCACTGACTACTGGGAGCCACAGACCTTCGGATGTGGCATGCAGAACAGGGCCAGGGCCTCACCGTAAGCGCTGCCAGCTAAACTGTTCGTGGGAACCGCATGCTTTCCATTCTGAGTGACGGCCCGGACTGGAAGGTGGTGCTGCCCGAGGGTCACAGGTGTGGCGGGCTGCAGGATAGTGACTGTGTGTCCAGGGACCCCGGGGGCCATCTGGCTGGCCACTGTCTGGATGACTCCACCGGCCGCGGGGATTGTGGCAAACGCAATGGTGGGTTTCTCCTCTAGGCCTGCGGGACAGGAACCAAGTCAGCACCACACTGGGCCAACGAGACAATCAATTTCCTCGACGCCTGGGCAACAGGTTGCCAAGTGGGGAAAGTGAGGTCGGCACTGGGAAAAACTTGGTTTGCTAGAGGAAAATCCCACGGGCGAAATAGGTTTGGGAAGAAAACAATTACTAAGGTTTTCGAACAATATTTTACTTAATTTTTGAGACGGGTTTTGTTGCTCTGTCACAGAGGCTGGAGTGCAGCAGAACGATCTCAGCTCACTGCAACCTCTGCCTCCCGGGTTCACGCCATTCTCCTGCCTCAGCCTCCCGAGTAGCTGGGATTACAGGTGCCCGCCACCACAACCGGCTAATTTTTGTATTTTCAGTAGAGATGGGATTTCACCATGTTGGCCAGGCTGGTCTCGATCTCCTGACCTCAAGTGATCCGCCCACCTCGGCCTCCCAAAGTGCTGGGATTACAGGCGTGAGCCACCGCGCCCGGCCTAGAACAGTATTTTAAATACCTTAGCTTTAACTAACCCAAATTTAGCCTGAGAAAGAAAATGTATTACTTGGAATGAAACGATCCTGATTAGAGCTATAACTTGGCCTTCCCTCACCAAACTGCAGTTTCATTACGGCAACATTGAAATAAACACCACCACGGAGATGAAGTCAAGGGTGGAGAGTGGCGTCAGGGGGTGCTGCCTAACTGAAGGTGTTCCAGAGAGGGGCTTCTGGGGTCAGCTGCGTGTTCAGTGTCTACCCCATCAAGCCCTGGGATTGGATTTCTTTTAGCAATTCAGAACTACTGTTTCCCTAAATGACTTCTAAAGTCTCCTTACGAGGGAGTCGAAAAGAACAGTCTTCCCAGGCTCATTCTTTCTCCTGCAGAAAATACTGAATTCCAAATGCACGCAAGGCCGCAGCACAACTGAATTTAAGGGCAAGGACACAGCTATGTGCAGCCGAGGGCTCTATTCAACAAGGAAGGATGCATCTGTGGAGAGTCATGGTTTTTTATTTTTTTTGAGACAGGGCATTGCTCTGTCACCCAGGCTGGAGTGCACTGGCGCAATCTAACTCATTGCAACCTCCGTCTCCAGGGTTCAAGCGATTCTCCTCCCTCAGCCTCCCGAGTAGCTGGGACTACAGGAGCGCACCATCATGCTTGACTAATTTTTGTATTTTCAGTAGAGACAGGGTTTCAGTACATTGGCCAGGCTGACCTCGAACTCCGGACCTCACGTGATCCACCTGCTTTGGCCTCCCAAAGTGCCAGGATTATAAGCATGAGCCACCCACCCAGCTCATGCTGATTTAAAAGGACAAGGCAGCGGAGGCAGAAGCAGAGAATCATCCTCCTCAAGCCCCAGGCCTAGGCCGATGGCACTGCCTTGCGGATCTGCTGGCCCAGACCACCACGGAGGGTCCTGCGAAGGCTGCCAGCCGCAGCTGCATTACCTCTGGCCTCGCTGCCCAGGTCCAGCACGGCTGCGCCCGCCGCATCATGGGAGCCCCCCGCCGAGCCCTGGCTGGTGAGGATGTATCCGTTGGCCGAGTTGGCGGACGTGGTGACCACCCTGACCATGGTGACGGTGGGGGCCTGCTGCACAACGTGGATAGCGTGGCCCGCGGGCTGCTGTGAGGTTACGATGGAGGCGGGCATGTAGGCCACGGGCTTGGCCACGAGGCTGGACGGTCGGGGAGGCACGGCCATGATCACTGGCTGGGCACTGACGGGGGAGCCTGCATGGAGGGCGGAGAGCAGATGGTGACCCCTCCCGCGCCCCCACGAGCCCCACCCCACCCCGCAAGAGGGCTGCCCGCTCCTTACCGGGTGCGCTTTGGGAATACCGGTACTCTGGGACAGAAGCTAACTTGGACCCAAACTCAGGGTCGTGTGGAATGGGGGAGCCCTCCCGAGACAGGCACTCTGGGGTCTGCAGGCCGCTGGAGCGAGGGGACATCAGTCCGGGGTGTGTGGGCGAAGCTGGAGCGCTCCTGGAAGAGAGGGAAGGGTCGTGGCAGTCAGCGCCCACGCTGAGGGGCAGGAGGACGTTTCCGAGACACCAGCATCTCAGTGTCGCCCCCATCACCCGCCCACGCTCCCTGGAGCTGTCTCTGTCCTCCCCATTCAGACAGTGAGAAATGCCCCCCTGAAACCTGAACCCAGTGTTTAAAACTCCATTTGAGTGGGGGCTGCATCGGGGGAGGCTCCGTTCCATGGGAGGGGACGGTATCATCTGAGGTGTTGCAGTAAACGCGACAACCTACAGAGTTCACTTCCACCGAGGTCCAGCCACGTGTCCGTGAAAATGGCTCAGGCCTTCTGTGCCAAAAACATAAGCTTCTGTTTGATGGGCACAACCATTACACCATGAAAACTCTACCCCTGAGAGTAAAACGAGCTTTGGGAGCACAACCTTTTCCTGCACAACTAACAGTCCAAGCACGCCCACTCCCCGCCTGCTCCCCGCCCGCTCCCCGCCACCATCGACTCAGGCTCTACAATACAGCGTTCCTGCCAGGTGCCACCTGTGAGGGCCTGGCGTGGGCGACTGCAACACAGCCAAGACCCAGGCCTGGAAGCAGTCAGCTTTCTTCTCTGGGACCACCCAACACACACGTGAGGCAGGACATGCAGCCCAGCCACACCGCTGCACACGCAAAGCAGGAGGATTCAGCATAGACCAGAGAGGCAGGAAGCTGGGACTCACCGGGGCGGCTGGGGTAAGGAGCGAGTCTTTATTTAAATACACACACACACACACACACACACACACACACACACACATAGATACACAGACAAACACATACGTACATATATATATAATTTTTTTTTTTTTTGGTAGAGACAGGGGTCTCGCTAGGTTGCCCAGGCTGGTCTTGAACTCCTGGCCTCAAGTGATCCTCCCGCCTCAGCCTCCCAGAGTGCTGGGATTACAGACATGAGCCACCGTGCCTGGCCAGAGTCTTCATCATGTTACAAACATCCTTGGTCACTTTGCATATGCTGTGTCTACCAAGGGTGGCTGAGCTGGGCCCTTCCTGGGCTCCATGGGCAGAGGCCCGGGCGCTCCCTCTCCATCCCTCCCCTCCCTGCTGCCCTGTGTAGTCTCTTCCAGACCACTTAGCTCCCCGTCTCTTCCTCATCCAGGGGCCTGGAGGCCTTGACTGCGGATTCCAGCGCACACCGGACTCAATCCCAAACCCATGTGGCCAGGCCGCTCCCCAGTTCTGGAGTCTGCCACGGCTCTAATTCTTACCAAGAGTCCAAATGCCTGTCAGGGCCCTCTCTAATCTCCCCTTCCTCTACCCAGTCACCCCATTTCCTAGGACCTGCCTCCCTTTAAATCCATCCAGGCTCTGGAAGTCAAGCCAGCCTCCTCCCTCTTTGGAAGACACAGCTCTTGCCGTACAGTCCTCAGGGCCCAGAGGGTCTTCCCTCCTTCCACCACCCAAGCAGATTCTATCAGCACAACACCTGCTTCCACAGCTCCAAGGGCGACCTTGAAGATGGACATCTTCAGTGTCATTGAAAATGACATTGGTGGCTATCAGGGGTTCACCCGTGTCCCCCAAAGGAGAAACACTGGCACCCTAACCCCCAGTACTTCAGAACGTGAGCTTATGTGGAGACAGGGTCTAACAGAGGTGATCAAGTCAAAAGGTCATGGTCATTTGAGTGGACCCGAATCCAATGACTGGTGTCCTCATATAAAGGGGAAATGTACCCTGACACACACAGATGGTGCCACTTGAAGATGAAGGCAGAGGGTGGTGTGACACACCCACAGGCGGAGGAGTGCTGGAGACCGTCAGCAGCCAGGGCGGAGGCCTGGGGAGACTCCTCGCAGCCTCAGACGGACCCAGCCCTCCCGACACCTTGTCCCTGGACCTCCAGCCTCCCTGCAGAACTGTGGGACAATCATCACCTGTTCAAACTGCCCAGTATGTGGTACTTGTTTCAACAGCTCTAGCAACTTAATGGTTTAACAAAATTTCTCTTCACGTTCCATTTAAGTGATGTTGTGTTCAGATTGAAGTATCTGAAAATTCATTGCAGGCACAGGGTCTGGCACTGTGATTCTCAGGTGAATGGGGCGTATGGTTAAGGCAGGAATTCAAAAAAGTGTCTGAACATCACTTGGAGCTCAGTTGAAATGCTCAGTTGAAATGCTCCAAATGATGTTCTAACACTTTTTTGAAGTCCTACCTTAACCATACGCCCAGTTCACCTGAGAACCACAAGGCCAGACCCTTGCCTGGAATGAATTTTCAGATATTTCAATCTTTCATCGAATGGTGTTGGAAACAGAATTTTGAAATGGGAAGCACGAGATGCTAACGTGTCCTTCCACTGGGAAGGATTTCCGAGAGTGCCGCTCAGGAGATCTCCTCCCCCACACCTGGGATGGGCTCATCTGAAGCGCAACCTGGGAAGAGCTGCCCAGGCCACTCACAGGAGGTGCTGCTCCTCCAGACTGGGCTCGGCCAAGACCAAGCTGGGCAGGGGAGGCCCTGACCCACCAGGTGGGCAGTGGCGGCTGGGGGAGGGTCTGTCCACCCCGCCTGCAGCAGGGCTGCATTCCCAGCATCTGGGAAAAGCAAAGGCGGTTGTGGACTCCCCAAGTCATACCCCTCGCCTGTCCCTTCAAATATTCGGCTCTCCCTGGGTCCTCTCACACTGCAACGGAAAGCTCAGTGCCACCGAAAGCACCGAAAGCTGCAGTCCATTTATTCTCAGCCTTAGGAACTGTTCCCATTGCTACACACATTTCCACTTCTAAGAACTAAAATGTGATTTTTCATACAACAGTCAGTGGCTTACTTAGTAACCCTACTATTTTAGGAGTTCTTGGTCCTGAGGTATTCTTTCAAAACAAAAACACGAACAGAAAATGGTGGAGCCTTGAGTGCCAAAACCAGCAGTCACCCCTCGGTACTTGAGGGGAGGGGGTTGCAGGTACCAAATCTGCAGATGCTTATCCAAGTTCCTCGTAGAAATGGTGCCACCTTTGCATACAACCTGCGCACATCCTCCTGTAAGCTTTAAATCATCGCCAGGTTGCTTATAATCCCTAACACACTATGCATGCTATGTAAATAGCTGTTGTAGTGTGTATTGTTTCATTTGTATTACTTTTTTTTTTTTTGAGACGGAGTTTTGCTCTTGTCACCCAGGCTGGAGTGCAGTGGTATGTACAATCTCGGCTCACTGCAACTTCCGCCTCCCAGGTTCAAGTGATTCTCCTACCTCAGCCTCCCGAGTAGCTGGAATTACAGGCACCTGCCACCACAACCAGCTAATTTTGTATTTTTTTTAGTAGAGGCAGGGGTTTCACCATGTTGGCTAGGCTGCTCTCAAACTTCTGACCTCAGGTGATCCACCTGCCTTGGCCTCCCAGAGTGCTGGGATTACAGGCGTGAGCCACCGCACCAGCCCTTTTTTTTTTTTTAATATTTTGGACCTGTGATCAGTTGCATGCCCGCACGCTGAGCCTGCAGCTATTGCGCCCACAGATCCAGAGGGCAGACTGCATCAGGCATCTCTAAGCTCCGGGGCAGCTCAGCTTTCCTAACAGCTCAAGGACGGCCGCGCAGAGAGCTTTACCTTGAGGACAGAGGCCCGAAGGGGGTGCGGAAGCAGGAGACGCCCCTCTGCCTCCGTTTCCGGAATGCCTGTTCCACGAGCTTGGCTTCAGAGGCGGGGTCTATTCGCCAAAAAGACCCCTTCCCAGGCTCCTCCTGGGAACGTGGGACTTTAATAAAGTAACGGTTCAAAGAGAGGTTGTGTCGGATAGAATTCTGCAGGGAAGCAGAGACATTCACCCGTCACCAGCAAATCAGAAAACGAGTCCCACCCGCCCCAAATCTGCAACAGACGCGGGACCAGGGTGGGGGGGGGGGCCGTCCCGCTGTGCAGAGCCCTTGGTGCTGCGCTGACTGGGCCTCATGGGAGCAGCACTGAGGCACAGGGCAGGTCATTCCTATCAAAATTTGACACAGCATCATGACCATTTTACTTTTTTTTTTTTTTTTTTTAAAGACAGAGTCTCGCTCTGTCGCCCAGGCTGGAGTGCAGTGGCGCAATCTCAGCTCACTGCAAGCTCCGCCTCCTGGGTTCAAGGGATTCTCCTGCCTCAGCCTCCTGAGTAGCTGGGACTATGGGCATGGGCCACCATGTCTGGTTGATTTTTTGTATTTTTAGTCCAGATGGGGTCTCACACTCTTGGGCTTAAGCAATCCTCCCACCTCGGCCTCCCAAAGTGCTGGGATTACAGGCATGAGCTACTGTGCCTGGCTGCCATTACCATTCTTTACAGAAAAAGTGAAACAGAATGACAGATCCTGGTCCAGGAGCATGTCTGGGACAAAGAAAATACTGGGTCTTGGCCAGGCGCAGTGGCTCACGCCTGTAATCCCAGCACTTTGGGAGGCCAAAGTGGGCAGGATTACCTAAGGTCAGGAGTTTGAGACAGCCTGGGCAATATGGCGAAACCCTGTCTCTACTAAAAATACAAAAAAAAAAAGCCAGGCGTGGTAATGGGCGCCTGTAGTCCCAGCTACTTGGGAGGCTGAAGCAGAAGAATCGCTTGAACCCGGGAGGCAAAGGTTGCAGTGAGCTGAGATCGTGCCACTACACTCCAGCTGGAGCAGCAGAGTGAGATCCTGTCTCAAAAAACAAACAAAACAAAACAAAACTAGTGGATATGCTACACTGACTTTGGAGAAAATACAGGCAAATGCAACATGCATCAGTCATGGCTGGTGTGGACAAAGCTCTTACAATCCCATCCACAATTCAGACATGTAGACGGTTTTATTAACAGTATACGGTGCATTTTTCCAACTTAACATGGGATCGTAAGGCACAGCAAGCACAAAATCTAACAAGGTATAGACCCATCTTCTCAGTTCTGGGGCTCAGAAGAAGAAAACTAATAAAAAAGAGTATTTAGATACAATGGTATCACAGTGCCTTTCAGATGTATCATAGGCCATCTGTGAAAACATCCCTCTTTTATATCTATCTTCTTAGTTTAAAAAATATTTTTTTTTCTTTTTAGACACAGGGTCTTTCTCTGTCTCCCAGGCTGGAGTGCAGTGGTGTGATCATAGCTCACTGCAGCCTCCACCTCCTGGGCTCAAGTGATCCTCCCACCTCAGCCTCCGAGTAGCTGGAACCACAGGTGTGCACCACCACACTCAGCTAATTTTTAGTAGAAAAGAGGTTCTATGCTGCCCAGGCTGGTCTTGATCCTCCTCCTGCCTCAGCCTCCCAAAGTGCTAGGGTTCCAGGGATGAGCTCCCTTACCGGCCCTCTTTTCTGTTTTAAGGGAAGCGATGCGCCTGTTAGTTTCACGTTCTAAGGGCCTTCAGAGGTGGTCCAGCCCCAGGGACTTGGCCTCACCTGCCAGCCTTTGTCGGCCGTCCGGTAGTAGGGGTAATGCTTGGTGATGTGGGCGTAGATCCCGCTCAGGGTCAGCTGCCGGTCCTGGGCGGAGGAGATGGCCTGCACGATCAGCTGCGCGTAGGAGAACGGCGGCTTTGACTCGTCCTGCGGAGAGACAGGGCTCACGGGATGAGCTCCAGCAAGGTCCCTGAGTCCACTCCACCCACCTGTCACAGGTGACAGGGAGGAACCTTCCCACAAGACCGTGCATGTCTCGACGGCACCCATCCCGGTGCCCTCCAACTATCCCATTGATGTGCTTGCATTCAACTAGGAACGGCCATTTTTGCCTCGTGGGAAGGAAAGCTTTGTTTTTATTATAATTTAATTCTGGAATTTCTCACCTCTTCCACAAATCAATCTGAAAACAGCTGTTGGACAGAAACGAACTAAGACAAAGTTGTAAGGAGAGTGCCATCCTTCTCAAGGGCTGTATGAAGGCTCTGACGCCAGGATGCCAGCAGCAAATGAACAAGGAGCGTAGCGGGAGGGGCCCTTGGTGACGGTGCCACCCCTGTCACCAGCAAATGACCAACGGGGATGATTTGGGCACGAAAAGGAGAAAGCGCCGACAGCTCTACGGCCAGCTGTGGCTCCATTCCCTGTGGGCTGAGACCACCTCAAGCACACGCCCACGGGCCCTGGGCTGTCTGTGCCGCCCACACTGGGTCACCATGGCCCGATCCTGGTCACCACGTGCATCACGGCTCTGGGTGGGCTCAGACCTTGGGGCTGTCTCCTCCGGACGTGTCTGCCTGCTGCTCCGACGCGGCCTTTGCTGCAAACTCTGCTGCCAGCTGCAGGTCTGAGGTCACGTTCTGAACAAAGCGGTAACTGGAGGAGCCGGCACCACGTGGACTGGCTGGGCAGGAGTTGGGGACGCTGAGGAGAGAGAAGGACACTGTAAGCTCATGGCTCTGAAAAAGCCCTGTGGGGCACAGGGCTTCAGGACCTACCCAGAGGGTGGGGCTGTGGGGAAGAAGCTCAAACTTTCCAATCGTAAGTGCCATCACGCTGCCCGGCCAAGGCCACACAGCGTCAGGGACAAGATGCTGGAGACGGCAGCCAAGTTTCCTTCCAATGGTGACTCCTGCTCGGGGACTGAGAGTGCTGCAGGCCCTCCTCCTGCCATTGTGCAGGGCCCAGGGCAGCACCTGGTCAGGCAGCTCTGTGCGGGCCCCTCCTCAGCTCCCCCCACGCACACCCCTACAGGACGTGCACCCTACAGGACATGCACCCGGAGCAGGTAGCCTCTGCAGGCTGCTGGCTGCTGCACAGGTGTCCACAAGGTGGCGCTGTGGGAAAAGGCTCAGGCCCAGGACAACCCCGTGCAGTCAGAGGCAGATGCTAGAAAGGGGCTGTGGAGGTGCCATCGCCCCGCAGGATGAAGGCATGGCAGGTGGCTCTCCTGAAGACACTGCCCTCGGGAAGAGACGACCCCTGCGGTTTTGCCCTGAGCTGCTGAGATGCCCCTGCCCTCATCCCCTCTCCCTCCCAGGCTGGAGCAACCCAGGTGGCCGGGAGTGACCGACACCCCCGGCTGCAGGTGAGGCTCTGGGTTGAGGCGGGGACCGTGGGCAGGAGGCTGCGTCCGTCCGGCTGAGGGGTGCGCCCTGGCCTGCTCTCCTAACTCACTCAGCCAGGCTTCAGTTAGCAAACCACAGCGATGTTTTGCTTCTGAAAATGATTTCTATTACAGGTATTCAGAGAAAGCCAATGAGAACACGAAGAGCGGGTGCAAAACCTCCCAAGAGAAAGAGCTCCCACTGTCCTGAGCTCATGGGCACCCACCTGGCCCCGTCCTGGGATGGACCCTGCCCACCTGTGATGCTGACATCCCCCCTCAGCCGCCTTAGAGCCCCCGTGGCGGGCAGGACACTCCCTGGCTGCACTGCCCTGCAGGCCACCCAGAACCATCCAGAAGGTCCATTCTCCTCCTCCCGCCTTGCTGCCCCTTCCTCTGCCTGGAACATCCTTCCCCAACTGTCCAGGCACAAGACTCAGATCTCCAAACCTCAGGCTAAGCAGGAGCCCCCCTCGGCGCAGGTGGGGCTCAAGAAACATTTTTTGGATGGAGCAGGGGGATGAATGAAAAAAACTCCTGTGGCTGAGAAAAACCTGGCAGCTGACATTAATGAGCAGTTCAGGCCTGGGGCATTTTCAGGAATGACTCAGTGTCACCCACATGGAACATTAAGGACTCTGATCTGGAATTCCTGTTCTCTCTTCCAACAGGCTCCCCAAATACGGCAGAGATAGGTAAGTTCCGCACACGTCGAAACTTAAATGAACACCCACAAATGGCTCGATAGAGGTAGCAACGGTCAAAAGGAAACTTTTTCTGAATTTAGTTCTGAACCCAAAATACAAAACCCAAGCTTACAAGAAGGTGAGAAGGGGAGAGAAAGGTTTTGACTGAGAACAGCACACAGCCCCCAAAATCAGCTTTGTCAAGGGCCTCTGGGAACCAAACGCCTCCCTGCTGAGGCAGGACGGCCTCATGGCTGGAGGGGCTGCAGACCGCGCCTGTGCACCTAGTCCCAGACCCAAAGCTACTGGATATCCCCCTGGGACTCAGCAGGAAGAACTGAAATGTCAGGCCTTGCTGGGACCACTGAGCCGAGATGTCACTCAGATACACTCTGATCTCCAGCCACAGGCTGGGGAATGGCCAATCAGCTCGGAAAATCTTGTCCGAGGCCCATGAGGTGGCAGGCTTCTGGATCCTTCCTGAGGACCAATGAGGGGCACCCCCCCCCGCCACTCCACAACAAACAGTGATGGCCCAGCACGGGTGGCAGGGACCCCTTCCTGTTCCCAGCAGTTATTTTGCAAAAGATCCTAGAAAATTCATGTCTGCCAGGCGCGGTGGCTCATGCCTGAAAGCCCAGCAATTTGGGAGGCCGAGGCGGGAGGATCGCTTGAGCCCAGATGGTCGAAACTAGCCTGGGCAACATAGTGACACCCCCATCTCTACAAAAAATTTACAATCAGCCAGGTGTGGTGGTGTGCACCTGTAGTCTCAGCAACTCAGGAGGCTGAGGCAGGAGGACTGCTTGAGCCCATGAGCTTGAGGCGACAGTGAGCTATAATTGTGCCACTGCACTCCAGCAGAACAAGACCCTGTCTCTAAAAATAAATAAATAAATGAAGTTTTAAAATTTAAAAAATTAGCTGGGCATGGCAGTGCACACCTGCAGTTCCAGCTATTCAGGAGGCTGAGGCAGGAAGATGGCTTGAGCCTAGGAGGTCGAGGCTGCAGGGAGCTATGATCACACCACTGCACTCTAGCCTGGGCAACAGAGTAAGACTCTATCTCAAAAAACAAACAAAAAACCTCACGGAGTAAAACCCACAGGAAAGGCTGTCATTCCCCAGATAATAATTTCAAGTGGAAATAATACAGGTTGGCAAAACCTGGCTCAAACACAGGGAAGAGAGGAGGGGGGTCTCTCCACCACGTTCCCCAGCACCGGACCCGGCCTGGGCTGCCGGATCCTGGTGTCATTCCAGCTGGGAAAGGTACGTCGCCGCTAAGGGCTGGTAAAGTGCTCTGGGGGAAGACAGGTCCGAGGGTGCCCGGCCGAGGTGGGATGGGACACCCAGCTCCAAAGCCAGGGACCTTGGAGCCGTCTGGGAAACTAATCAAGACATCTCGTGTCTGATGCCAAGAGTCCACGGAAACACTCCCTTAGCAATCTAAAGAAAATGCTGGGCCAGGTGTGGTGGCTCACGCCTGTAATCCCAGCACTTTGGAAGGCCGAGGAGGGTGGATCACGAGGTCAGGAGATGGAGATCATCCTGGCTAACACGGTGAAACCCTATCTCTACTAAAAAATACAAAAAATTAGCCAGGTGTGGTGGCAGGCGCTTGCAGTCCCAGTTGCTCAGGAGGCTGAGGCAGGAGAATGGTGTGAATCTGGGAGTCGGAGTTTGCAGTGAGCTGAGATTGCGCCACTGCACTCCAGTCTGGGCAACAGAGTGAGTCTCCGTCTCCCCCCGCAAAAAAAAAAAAAAAAAAAAAAAATGCTGAATGCCAGGCACAGTGGCTCACGCCTGTAATCCCAGCACTTTGGGGGGCTGAGCCAGGCAGATCACCTGAGGTGAGGAGTTCGAGACCAACCTGATCAACATGGAGAAATCCTGTCTCTACTAAAAATGCAAAATCAGCCGGACGTGGTGGCGCACACCTGTAATCCCAGCTACTTGGGAGGCTGAGGTAGGAGAATCACTTGAACCTGGGAGGCAGAGGTTGCGGTGGGCCGAGATTGTGCCATTGCACTCCAGCCTGGGCAACAAGAGCGAAACTCCGTCTCAAAAAAAAAAAAAAAAAAAAAAAGAATGCTGAAAATGACGGCATACACATGCACACGTTTCCTCCTGCGGGAATGAGAGAGAGCAGAAAGTTGAGGGGACCCCACTGCTCCCCGACAGGGACCCCCAGCTCAATTCTAGGAAACAGGGAATCACTCCTTCTGGGGTAAGTACCCCAGGCCTCAGTCAGGCACCCCCAGTCCCTAGCTGCCTGGGTGTGGGACGCAGAGGTTGGACAGCGACAGCCCACAGATGTCGCGGGAATCAAATGCCTGTGCCCCCGATTGGAGGCTGAGAGTGGGAAGAAGCACAGTAAGCAGCTCACCCCTAGGCCCCGATTTTGCTTCCTTTATAGGGAGGACAATTCCCAAGTCACATTTCTGCCTCAGATGAGAGAGCCGGAGGATCCTGCATGGGGGACTCCCGGAGCCGGGCTCGTGGGGACAGCCCTGTGTTGGCCCACCACGTGCAGCCTCCACCACGCCCAGGGACCACCCAGGACACGCCAGTGCAGGGAGACTGGAAAGGAATGGATGGGCTGTGGGACACACGGGTCGCTGGGTTGCGTTATCATGAGAAGTCACACTGAGAAAAGCAAATCCAACGACAGACCTAAAGCCACCTCTGGAGCTGCCAGCTGGTGGGCTCTGTCCCCAGAGCCCAACACAAGCCTTCCCTGGGGCACAGGGCTGTGGTCCTTCCAGTCCACCCTCAATGCCCTTGGTTCTACGCTGAGGTGGAGGCCACCCTGAGAGGCCTGGGGTCGGGACCGTTATCGCTTCTGGCAGGCCCAGAGAGGGCAGTGCTCTGTCAGAAGGGACCTGATCCCTCCTGAAGCCCTAGAGACACAGATGGGACCCGTCTGGAGGGGCTGGAGGAAGGGGCTGGGACGGAGCCTTGTGGGCAGTGGAGGGGCAAGAAGGCCGCAGGGGTCTGCGATGTCCTTTATGTCCCAAGGCAGCACCTGAAGCCTCCTGGGGGAACCTCCCTGCAGAGGAGAATGCTCGGGGTCCCTGTCCCAGCCCCTGCTCCAACACTAGCCACTCTAAGAGGGTTTTTAGGACCTCGCTGTTAAACAGAACAGCCGGCCAAGGCACATCTGTGGATTGACGAAGCTTCTAACAGGTGGGACATGGTGCAAAAGAGAAGAGAAGAGGGACCCAGGGCAACCTATGGGAGCCCGGGAGGAGACGAGACGTGGTTCCCGTCCCTAGGGAGGTAACGACGCCATCTCTGTAAGACAGTGAGGGCAGCACGCAAAGCACACCTGCAGAGCGAGAACATACTCTCAAAAAATAAGAATTCAAAAGAGGAGAAATACAAATCCAAGAAAGGGTGGAAGGAGAGACTGGAGAAAATCTCCCGGAAAGTAGAGACAGAAAGGAAAGGAGAGGCATGAGAGACTCAGCTCAGAGGCCTGCAGGCACAGCCAGTCCCAAAAGTGTGGACAGGAACCAGGGGTCCAGGTGAGGTGGCTCACACCTGTAATCCCGGCACTTTGGGAGGCTGAGGTAGGCAGATCACTTGAGCACAGGAGTTCAAGACCAGGCTGGGCAACGCGGCAAAAC